GATTTCTTTGTCTGTACAATAGGATTCCAATAGTGTCATCTGACAAAGTTTTACAGCGATTGGGTGAAATAATAACCATAAAGAATTTAGGGATAGACTGCAAATGGCCCACAATTGACACATGCTTACAAGATTAGTACTATTGTTAAGTGGCTATTAAGTGTGCTGCAAAGGGACTTTGTATTCTCAAATGGTGATAGGGGAGTTTTCTTTTGACTGGCAGAGGTGGATAGCTAGCTACTTTTTGGCTTGGCTCTCTCTTCTCTCCTTTCATCACAAGCAACATGTTGGAGTTACTTCTGATCAATAGCCTTATCTGCAGTTTATGATGCAGTATAGAAGGCAGCCTTAGATGCTACCTCTGTCCAGCATGCTTATATTCACTGCTTTGGAAAATATTAAATATCACATTCTTTTAATTCTCTTTGTCTGTCTTGAAGTGTTGGTACACTTGCTTTGAGTTTTCTCTTAGAAAACATTCACTTCTTTTCAATAAGAAACAGCTATAAATGCCAAGCTCCATTAGGGAAATTTTGGATGGTGTCCCCTGTACATCTTTTTTTTGCATGCAAATTTCAGACTATGTCCATGGGAACGCTGGGCCAGTGGGAAGGGAGGGCAGACATAGGGCTGAAGGATTTGCTGGACAGTGAGGACACCTAAGCATTCTAGAGAAGGAAGGTGTGAGAAGTGGGAAAGCTCAGCCTGCTGCATCGCTCGGTTATAGCTGGCATCTCTTTCCTGATTACTCAGCAGAAATCTGTTGGCCTTGTTTTATTAAGAGTTAGGACATCCCAGTGTCCTAACCCATAGGGGTTTCTCTCCTCTCCTTCTGCATCAGGCAGAGGGATTCTCTATATTAAATATTTAAAATTGAACTCTGCAAAGGAGCTGTGATTGGGTAGTGACGGGAGGGATAGAAGAGCGAAAGCTGAGGAAGGAGGACTTGTGGCAGGTGTGACACAGGTCAGAGGTTGCATGTCTGCTCTGGGACGTGGCTTCTCATGCTTTTGTCAATGTCCCCATGGTACCAACTGGTCCACCTACTCTGAGGATAGTGACTCAGGCTTTATGTGGCAGCTGAAATCTGTTCTCATCGGGCTCAAACACTCAAAAGAGAATGTTTCCCCTGTCCTTCATTATGCATGCCAAAATAATGAGCATAGTCAGCTCTAAGCAAATGTTTGTGGTTTACAATGGTGCTTCTGCAAGGCTTTTTTTTTTTTTTTTTTTTTGACAGGGTTTCGCTGTGTAACTTTGCGTCTTTCCTGGAACTCACTCTGTAGCCCAGGCTGGCCTCAAACTCACAGAGATCCGCCTGGCTCTGCCTCCCAAGTGCTGGGATTAAAGGCGTGTGCCACCACCGCCCAGCAGCAAGGACAAGGCATTTTTATTATTGTTCCAAGTCAGGGTCTCAGTCTATAGTTCGGGCTGACCTGGAACTACCTATAGAGACCTACATATGACCTTAAACTCATGTCGATGCTTTTGCCTCAGCCTCTTGAGTAATGAGATTACAGGTATGAGTCACCAAACACTGCTTTAGAGAATATTAAATATCACCTTCTCTTAATTTTCTTTCTCTGTCTTGAAGTGTTGGTACACTTGCTTTGAGTTTTCTCTCAGAAAACATTCACTTCTTTTCAATAAGAAACAGCCATAAATGCCAGGCTCCATTAGAGAAATTTTGGATCGTGTTCCCAGTTACTGACTTCATTCTTTGGCGACTCCAGGTCTCTGCAAGGGTTGGGAAAGGTCTATACTTTAGGACCTCAGTCTCAAGTAGACCAGAGAGGTCAGAATTGAGATTGTTCAGCTCTGGCCATGGATTCTGTCACTAGGGAGAAGATGGAAGTAATAACAGCTAACATTGCTCTGTTTGTAGACAGAGACTAAGCATATCAGTATTTTCAGGCATGGGTACACAGCCTTACTAGTAGAAGGGAAACTATTTCTCTCATATACATCCTATTATTCTAACTTATTTTATATTTGCAAAATATATCTCCAATTACTTGTATGCAATGAAAAAGGAAACAGTAAAAAAAGTTTTATAAAGACATGGGAAATGGTCTAAGATTTGGTTTATCAACAGCCTGCCCCTGGGAGTCCGATGACCCCATTAAAAATGCTGGATAAATAAAGGCTGAAGTTTTCTCTTCCCAATGTGAACTCTCATTTCAATAAGCCTTTCCTATCACCTATTTTTGATAACTGGGTTAGCTACTCTTCTCATTTTCACTTCTTGAATAGTGTTTCTCTTCGACTCTACCCTGAAAACACATATGAATTTTTAAATAAGCTCCTCAGCTGGTCAGTTTCTGGAAGGATGCTTCTGCAGGGTGACCTGATTACTCTGGCTATCTGGGTCAGCAGTTTTGGGAGGGAGCTTCTGAGTCATGGCTGATATCTTCTAACATGTTGCTGTTCTGAATATAATTTATCATTCCTGGTATGGCTCTGGGTGTGTTATATCTTCAGTACTTTCAATGCTGAAGTACTAGGATGCTACCTACCTCTCTCAGCTACTCCTTGAGGGAGTAGGAGGCTTCCAGTGACTGGGGGGGGGTGAATTTTCAGGGACATTGTATCTGCTGCCATCATCATTCATACCCTGTGGATCTGAACTCTTTCTGTCTGGATAACACTCACACACAAAGGCTTGGATTGAATGTTGGTGCATTAGAAAGGGACACCATGTTGGCAATGATGAGTCTATCTCATGAGGCTCTTTCCCAGTCCTTTGGATAAAACAACTCTGCTTTAGGCTTTTGGAAAGAGTAGCTCATTCCTAGCTTCTGGGTAACAATATAACTCTACATTTGCAGTAGGTTTCTGAGTAGAATTAAGTGATGTATCCCTATGCTACATCCACACTTGCACAGTTATATAAACACATGTGTATTTGTGTGTATCTCCAGTGAAGGATTTGTATTCAGAAAATATAGAGAACTATAAGACAACTGAGCATAATATACAACCTAATAAAGAATAGATAAAACATTTATATAGGCATAGTATAAAAAGGAAGTATCCAAATGTTTTTAAGGAAATGATAAGATGCTTATCATAATTTCTTTATTGTATAAGGTATCATTACATATCATCAAAGGCTAAAACTGCTAAAAAAAAATCCTGGCTATATCAAATGCTGACTTGAATAGAGAGCACCAGGACTCTTCCAGATTTCAGGAGGAAAGGGAAATTAGAGCAATCACTTTGGAGAACCATTGGGAATTATACACCAAATTGTTCTGTACTGAGATATACACCTGTGATCTCTGGGGTAAGTAGGGCATCCAATGCTCTGTCTCTGAAATGCTCTCCTCCATTCCCAAGTTTTTTGCCAAATAAAAGACTATGAAAGCATGCCAAGACTGGAATAGCCTGATGAAGTAAACCCACTCCCCATAAACACCAGGAATCAAGGCATCGTCATGGTCTACAAAGGCAATAAGCTTTCCTGCACCTATGCTTGGTCATTGACTCTTTGGAAGCTGGTGATGATGCACTCTTTAGGTGGTCTGGCTTATAAATCTCCTTCCTCTATAGTAATCAGTCCAGGACTGAGCACTGTGGGCACGATAGGTGCTTTTTGGTCCAGCCAGCCACCACTGGTGAACTTTCCGACGTGTGCCATTGGCCACATACTGTCTTCATAGACCTTCTGAATAGCAGTACTGTCAGCCCATGCATGTGCCTCATGGATTTTCCTTGTTAGTATGTTTTCCTTACTTCACACCATGTCTTAGAGTATTGTTTTCAGTCTCCTACAGCCTGTCTCACTGCCTTATCACACCACAGATATGACAATACTCAGGGAAATGGTTGTCTCATGTGAGCCAGATGTGTCCATCTGGGGATTGCTTATGGTACTAAGACTGGGAACAGCCTAAATGTCTATTGTGGTATATTTTCTGTAAGTATGAAGGCTGTTGGAGGCCATGGGACAGAATTGGTCCTTAACTGTTAGGGAATGGAACACCATTAAACGTTTGGGTGGTAGAAGAGTAATGAAAGTCTATGTCAGGAAGTTACATCTGGTGGTGGTCTATAGAATTCACACAGTAACGTCTAACAGTCTCTGTAAATAAAAAATATGAAGCTATTTAGATATTGAAGTAGCTTTTTCTCACTAAATGTCCAAGCGTGGTGAGATATCTTCCCACTCCAAATAATACCTAGCCACTAAATGTGTTCCCTACCTTACCTATTGAAACCCTTATTTCCTACAAAGAATTCCGTTGCTTAATGTGGATTGATGGTAGCTTACAACATAGCTTTTGAAAAGTATGTTAGAAATGACTTCAGTAATTCATATTTTCAACTGTATAGTTTATAGCAGAGAAACTTCACTGCCATTTTGCTGTTTGGCTTGATTGACAATTTCAGCTAATAAAACTATACTTGTTGAGGTTTGGGGCTACTTTGGTTCTAAAATTAGACATTGTGAATACAAAAGGCCTACTTCTTTCATTCCCATTGAATTACTTACTGAGTACCAAAGTTAATACTGTTTTAAAAATTTATTTATTTATTTATTTAATATATTATTAGTATAATCCCTTTGCTTAAGCCTACATTATACTATTCATCTGGAGAATATATAATATATTAGTGTGTGTGTGTGTGTGTGTGTGTGTGTGTGTGTGCATGTTTGCTTGCATGTGGGTACATGTTTATATGTAGATATGCATACATGTGAAGACCAGAAGTCAACTTGGTTATAATTCCTCAGGTGCTGTCTGCCTTATTTTTTGAGACATGGTCTTTTACTAGGACCTAGAGCTTATGGATTAGGGTAGGATGGCTGGCTAGTGATCTGTGGGATCTGCATGTCTTCACTTTTCTAACTCTAGGATTGCAAGTGCATGCCATCATACTTGGCTTTTATTTATTTATTTTTAACATGGGTGATAGAGATTGAACTCAGGTCCTCAGGAGACTAATAACTTCAAACAGATCAGTTATTGTGTGAGAATAAAAAGAACAAAATTATATTTGCTTTACTAGTAGGATTTCTTTATTAGTCATAGATAATCATACATTACATGCAAGAAAATCACAATACAGCCCCAAATGTTTATGGATTCTGGTACATCAATAGTAACACAGTGCAAGAGTTTACATTTACATATTGTTTTTTACATACAACTTCCATAAACAGTCAAATAGGAATGCTGCAAAAAGAATTCAGCAGTGTTCTTAGTGCTTGATATACCAGTCAATACTTTGATCTGTGTAGGAGTCATTGTGATACATTTTTGCAAAAGCTGCATTTGGCCATCTTTTCCGACCTGGAAATGTGTACCAGGTAAAAAATGATAGCTTGGTCTTTTCTGCAAGTGAGGGTGTTTACTTTTGTAATAATAACATTATTGTAGGGCTAACACACTGGTGTAAACAAAAAAAACCCAAACATTAAAGGAAGGCCTCTCAGAAAGGAATGCTGTGTGCTTTTGACCATTCCTCTGTGAATCATTACAACCAACCGGGTGTGTACATCTCTGGCAGGGGCAAAGAAGTAAAACACAGATTCCCAGGAAATACTTTTGAAAGGCAAGTGTGTGTGGAGTGTGTGTGTGTGTGTGTGTGTGTGTGTGTGTGTGTGTGTATGTGTTAGGGAGACTGTTAAAAACAATTCAGCTAGACAGCATTCTGTGTTCATTGCTATACACATGAATTTCACACACAGTTTTGGAAGATACGATTGTGGTTTCATTTACATGGATACAAAAATCTGCAAAGCATGAACTATGTCACTTTTTTTAAAAAATTATTTTGTATGCTACTTGCTGGCATTTCTCTATAACTTAAAATGTTCCATTTTCGTAGAAGATGACCTTACATGCTGAGCAGCAGGATTCCAGATTCACTTTACCCCTGAACTTTGAGGAAAGGGGCCAGTTCCAGTCTTCTCTCGTACCTCAGAATGCAAGGAAGAGATGCATGGGTGGGAGGCTTGACGGATGCTCTACTTAGAGTAGACTCAGCGCTACGGTCCAAAGGACACTTTTCTGCCTCCACTTCTGCAGCTGGAGAGAAATGCAGCTCCCAGACAATGCTCTACTTAAAATATTTAAACTTAATGATGTGAGCATCGAACCAGATTCATTACTATATTTTGATTTTTTTCTCCACTGAAGCATTATGGGTTATTTTTTAAACACTGTCATTGGTTATCAGAATATCAGATGTAATTAAAACTATGAAGTACATCTTTTTTTTCTTATTTTTTCTAGCAGAAATTGTCTTTGAATATCAAGAATGCATCATTGGTATTATAAAAAATTCAATGACAAGCAACACACCTGATGTTTAGACTTATGCTTTTCCTTAAAAAAAGGAAACTTGTTTATTTGTTACATTTGATAGTTATTGTTCAATATGTTTTTTAGAAAGCTCCATTTGCAAACTTATTTACTTATATTCCATGTAACATAATGAGATGAAAACAAGACCACTTCACATTTCAAATTGTAACTATTAATTAGGTGAAAAGCTCAGGGAATGTATCACCAAGTGGAAATTGCCATTTCATTTTTGATTCTAATTAAATTAAAATATCATTATCTACCTGTTTATGTATTTCTTTTGTATTGGTAGATATGTTCCTAAAGGCATATAGAATTCCATATAATGCCATTGATAACATTATGATCCCTATATAATTGCCACATAATAGGGATATGTGTGTATACATATATACATATTAATATTTCTAATTCAGTTCTGATTAGTTTTTGTGAATGATTTTCTCAAACTGTGTACTAAAATTTAAATTGTATTTCTGTGTTCAGGAATCTCCAACATCATATGATGTTGACATGAAGTTGTTACACTTTAAAGTATTATAAAAGACAGAGCCAGCTGTAAGCTCCTAGGCTCTTCTACCATAACAGAGTCAAACTGACTTTTGTATATAGAGCCAAACTAATACTGCTTTCCTAGTTTTCTTTATGGAGATGTCTGAATACCAAGCAAATGCAAGCCGGAAAGATGGCTTCCGGTTTAAAATTTATGTCAGAAATAGCCTTGCCATTCTCTGGCAGTTCCCACTCACTGGGTTCCTCTTTGCTCTCCTTCAGTTCTGTAGGTAGCTCTTTTCTTCATGGTGTCTGTGGTTGCTGGCTTCCGGCTGTCTCTGAGAAGCCAGGCTAGTTAGAGAATAGCCAGCAGGCTGTTTCCTCTAGCTTCAGAATCAATAAGAAAACAGTAACCTAATTGAGCTCTCAATCGGGTACTGAAAGCTTCAGCCTTAACATGAGGAAATCAGCACCCTAAAAGATACCCTAGTTTTTATAAGCACACCCCTGCTGTCTTTTCCTACAGATCACCACAATGGGTGGTCCCAGGGCCTAGATTTTACAGGAATTGTTGTGTTGTGCATTATAGGAGAGAAAGCATCCACTACTGGGAACTGTTTTGTATAATTTGGTTTATAGATTATTTAAAATATTTGTTTGGAAAGAAGGCATCCATTATAAAGGTGTGTAGGCATACATCATTGGGATTATTTTTATTTCCCTTTGCTTCCTTCAACAAATGGATAGAGTTTATTTAAAAAAAAAACAAAAAAAAAAACAGTCGAAAACAACCTGGTAGGGTAGTCTTGCCCAAAACCCTGGCACTCAGGGAGCTGAGGCAGAAGGATCACCAAGAGTTCAAGGTTAACCTAGAATATTGACTGAGTGTCAGGATAACCTGGAACGCAGAGTGAGACCCTATCTCAAAAAAACATAAAGAACAAAAACCAAACAAAAACCTCTCCCAACAATGAACAAAACCCTAAAGCCACCGACAACAGTTCTTCAGGTTACCTCAGGATTTTCTTATTTTGCCCCAATTCATGTCTAAGTTGAGTGACTGAGTCACAGGCAAAGGGGGCTCTGAGAACACTTGTCAAATTACTGTCTGCAGCCCTGAGATTATAAACCCCTAAAATAACGCGTCGCTTGAATCTAATTTGTATAGATTCAGTAGCTCGCATGGAAAGAACCAGCTGGGTGGGAGGCCTGTTGAATTTCTCTATTCCCTTGAGAAATAAAGGCCCAGAATTTCCATAGAGCAAATGGGTTGTGAGTTAATGCAGCCCGATCAGTAGCAGCTCCCCACTGTGTCAGAGCAGGGGTGAGGCTGGGGGCAGAAGGGAACAAACTGTATCATAGCTAAAGCGAGTACCAAGAGGCCTTGTTATTTCTGGTTTTCTGTATGGACCCCTGCCGAGGCAGGAGCAGGAATGCAAATCAGGTTGGCCACCTGCAGATGTTCGGGAGAACAAGAACCCGGCTGATTGGGCTTCTTGGATTGGTAGGATGGACATTGGACATTAAATGCTAACTGGTTCTATATTTAAAATGATAGAGCACAGCAAGTCTTTAATAGACATGGCACAGTGTAATGGCCAGTCAAGAAGGGAGGCTGGGGGCTCAGGCCTGTCTCAGTAGGAAGTGCTGACAGGGCATTACACAAGGAAACCGTTTCATCTAGGGCAGAAGGGAGACGGGGGAGATGGTGGGCGTTATTTCTAAGGTGAATGCATCTGTGTAGTGACACACGTTTCAGGCAGAAATGAAAGACCCTGCAGACAACAAAAGATGAGCCATAATGACAAGCAACATATTTCCCAATCAGAAAGTAAGCAAGTAAATAACAACCCACACTTCCTAGAAAATAGGCAGAGGAGGACCCAGGCTTCACAAACACTTGTGGGCCATTTGGGCCACATTTGCTTCCAACAGGACCTTCTCTCTTTTGAAAGTGTCGGGTAGAATCCTAAGAGGATAAAGTCCACTCATTTATTTAGGTATGAACGAAGTTTTACCCACAGCAAAGGAAAAGCCACATACCGTTCTTACAAAAACGAACACAATCCAACACCACATCTCAGCCCTGGGTTCTAGAAAGGAAACCAGTGCAAATGGCATATTCTTGTGCGAGGACCATGAGAATTCTAGTGCCATTCAAGATTCAGCCTGATCCAGGCACTCACCTCTGTCCGGTGCTCTTTGGAAGGTATACTGAGGACTGGCCACCTGCACTGCTTTCCCATGGACCTTAGCAGCCAGACTGAGGCTATCTAGGCACCTGCAGCCTAGAGGAGACAGACACTGAATTTGAGACTTGGTTATTTGGCTGCCACACCAAACAGTGATATTGCCACTGTACCAGATCCACAAAGTATCTCTGCAGACTAGGTGACCATCTCCCGAGGGAGCCAGGACATGGAGAGCATCAGACACTGGAGTCAAGAACTGTGAGGTATTGTGCTGCTTCTGCTCCTTTTGGACTAGAGAAAATCCCAGAGTCCTCTGCTCTGACCTGTTTGAGAAATCGTATTTCCAAAGTCGAGTGAATGTAGCCTCTCTGCCTTCTCTCTGACATGCATTAGTTAAACAGTTTTAATGTGCTTAGGTTACCCAGCTCATGGCTGCTCTTATATGTATGTGACTGTTCAGTTCAAACAAATTCTTGGGCAATTACTGCTGCCTTTATTTCTCCCCTTTCTCTTCCTGCCTCCTTCTCAGCCTATACTACCACATCTCTTTGCGTTTCCATTTGGCATTTAGCAACTTTGTGTTCATGGAAAATTTCCCAACATTAGTCGAAAATGCCAATTAAATAAAACATTTCCATGTTTGAAGCAAAACAGCAGAAGTTTCTTTCAAGAGGTTTGAAAGGAAATGGAATATCACAGCCTGCTTTTGAGACTCAGTTCCTTTTAAAAATCAGATCGCGAGGTGGGAAGAAGGAACTCATAGACAGCCTTTAAACACTCTTTTCCTGAAAGATATTTTTGGCTGCTAAATACTCCTATTATGGTGCATGTGACAATGTGGAGATAAAAATGGGCCCCATCTCTCCAAAAGGGCTTCTGTTCTACTTCTCTGAAGTCACAAAAGAGACATGCATTGTCTACAGAGGAATTGCATATATTTCTGAAAGCCTAAGGTGATTAGAGCAATGTTAAGCAAATCTTAGATTTCATGAGCATGATTGTGCCGTGAGAAACAAACTCTATTCCTTGCAGCTCTGGATGGCAGCAGCCGCTCATGGAGAGGAGCAGACAACTTCTCTGTGAGACAGAATTAATGCTAACATTCTTTTAGAACCAGAAATGATAAAGTGTCGTTTGATCATCGTAAATACGTCTGTGCTGATGTTGAGACATACAGGATCGCCCTGGTTAACACTGGGTGGTTTAGACAAATGAAGGAGTGGCATTGTGTTTGTATTGTACCAACAAACTTTTTTTCTTCTTCCAGGTGTGTGTGTGTGTGTGTGTGTGTGTGTGTGTGTGTGTGTGTGTGATGGTAACACCTGTAAATGCAGCCCTTAGGCTGAAGCAGGAGGATCATATGTTCAAGGCGAGCTGGGGTTACATTGTGAGCTGGAGGCTAACCTAGGCTGTGAAGTAGGAATCTGTCTTGGGAAGAAGTGAGAAATAAGAAAGGAAAGAAAGAGGGTGGGGCATTGGGATGAAGCTTTATGCTGTCAGATAATATCAAATGAATACTGTATAAGTTGGAAAACACTGAAGGAAAAAATGAAAGCAGTTATATGTAAGATGCTTCTAGACGCTGGGCACATATTCTGAGAAAGAGCCACTTTTCAGGATTCTTCTCATCACACACACTTAATATAGGTTCAATAACAGACTTTTCCAAATCTCTTTGCACTTCCTATGAGCTTGAACCGAGAACTTCAATAAATCTGTACTTGTGGCTGCACTGAAATGTCATACAGAGGAAGGCAGGAGGGGTACTGCTTTCTTCTGCTGTGTCCCACCAATGGCCCAATGGCCCCACCCACTTTTTATAGTCCCAATTCTAAGCTTCAGTCATCTGCTGTTTGCAATGTATAGTGCCTAAAACACAGTCATGCTATTTATATTAATCAGGACCACCCATCTGCTCACACTAAGAAATGCTATGGCCGTCCACGATGAACATCTTCACATACTGTACACAGGAAGTTGTTGGCACCTGCCCTTGCTCACTCCCTGAACAGTAGGACATCCCATAATTCCTGGAACTTTTTATGACAGTGGGGAGTGAAGACTGTAAGGTGAAACCATTTCTAGTGAAATTCAATCATCTCCAGTAACTTGGACCGTTTTATGTGCTCCAAGCCTGGAACAAAGATGCGTCAGTGTTATTCTAAAGGTGGATATGGACAGTGAGGTCTCTAAGCTTCCTATGGTCATTGTTTTATTTGTTTCAACATTAATGGTTTTCATTTATAATAGAAAACATTTAATATATGACAGGCCAAAATTAGTTTTTTAAAAACATTGTATAGTTTAATCCTGATCATTTTTTAGTTTATTTTCTTTACCTTTTAGATCACAATAGAAAATTATTGACGGAGGGCTCTCACTTCTCTCTGCCACTGAGTTGCAAGTTAGTTCTAGCATACGGGCATTGAAAGTGGCTTTCCATGAAAACTACTGGCAACGACTTTCTGGCTTTAGAATGTGTTTTTAAAATGAACCCTTTCACTGTGTATTTTTTTTGTAGAGTCTAAGAGATGATATGGAAGAGCCTCATGCACATATATATGAAAAAAAAAAAACATGGATCAAGTCCTACATCAAATCCAAATTGCTCTCAGCCACATGCCAGATAAGTAACACCAAGAATGGGTCAATTGAAGAGAACTGTGAGCAGAAACAACACTGTGCTATCCCTTGAGAGAACTTGTGTCAAATAGCATATTGGAAGCAAGAACGTTCTTCCTCAGTGCTTAGATACAGACATTTCATTCTCCCAAATGAGTCTTATTTACATTATCCATTTTAAAATTCCGAATCTTTCTAAGATTTTGGTTTTAATTACTTCTATCAGAAAATGTAGAAGCTGCAACACAATGTCCATCCATCCTAGGATGTAATGTCTGAGAAATGGAGGCTATTAGAGGCATCATTGAAAGGAAACATTCAAAAACACTTATCAGGGATTTTTCTTTTCTCTTCTAATGGATACATGGCCGGGTCCATGTAATTATAGCCAATCAGATCTGAGACAGTAAATTCAGTTATTCTGATCTATGGCAGCTGTTTTCTGGAAACTATGGAGTGCATTTGTATCTTGTTGGACTGATGAAGTGATGCACATTTACAGTAGTATCTCCTGGCTGCATGCAGTCTCTGGAATCTGCGCGCGTGTGTGTGTGTGTGTGTGTGTGTGTGTGTGTGTGTGTGTGAGACCAGGGCCTTTGTTTTCTACTCCCATCTCCATAGAAGACGATAAAAGACTCAATTCATTTAACCAGTGCGGGCAAAAGTTCAAAGTGGAGAACTCCCTTGCATGGGCCATTCTTCCAGATCTGAAAATAGGAGATTGCCAAATCTCAGCTGCAGATCATGTCCATGAAAACTAGTCAGACAGGACTTTTCTTAGAGATGCTACATCAAAGATTGGCATCTTATCAAGGAAATCTTGATATTTAGCCAAGAACAAAAAGACCAGGATAATGATTATGACATTACATACATGCAAATCTTTAGGGAAATAGGCCTGGGGTATTGTTAATATTTCATGTTCAAGTAACTACATAAGATTGGAGAAACAGATCACATTTTTTTTAATGTGGTTGTTTGAGTCTGTCTTTTAATTATGTTTATTGGGTCCATATTTAAAAAACTGCTTAAACTTTCCTGGCACCCAACAAAAACATCTGTTGTTTTATCGTGCTGATTCAGAAGGCATCAGAGGAAATAATATAAAAGAGAGCATGCAGTGTGGAGAAATTACTGAGAAAGGAAGATGCAAAAGTCTTGGCTTCTTGCTTGGATGGCATGATGAGCTCGCTGGGTAACTTCATGAACTTGACTTTGTGAACACTTGGAGGACAGCAAGGCAATCGGGAAGGACCATCCCCATAACTTCCAGGAAAGTCCTTTCAGTGTGAGTATCAACCATTCTGCAGTTGACACTGTGTTTTAAACCCTTTTCAATTTTCATAGTGGAACCATGGGAGAAAGAAGTTGTGTTCTTTCAAACAATACAAAAACCAAGAAATGGAGGTGCCACTAATGTCTTAACTAGACAATAAATTCAAGGTGAACATTATAGGTCAAACATAATGTATTCCCTCACAAAAGACTAGAAAGGCTGTAACTTTCCACAGAAGGTGACTGGGTCAGAGGTCAGAGGTAGCATTTACTTTATGGGTTACTACAATGAATTTAACAACTGATGTTTTTTCTTTGATCAGGTCTTAAGTATTTGCTTGAAAATAGAAATTCTACATACAGAAGGGTCATCTTCTATGGTGACCCTGATTCACATACCACAGCGTGTTGTGGTCCACGGGGTGTGTTTCTGTACACAAGCTGGATTCAGTGGTGTAACATAATCTCTTCCTTCCGAGTGCTTGATGCAGTATGAGTGTCTCTCATGTGCAGAGTGAAGTAGCCAGAGAGGACAGACTTTGAATGATGCAGGATCAGGTGGTTTCCTAGGAAACCAGAGCCTCCTACACACCCCAACAGCAACCTGATTCCAAGTAGATGGCGGCCTCTAAGCTCAGGGTGGTTCTGGATGGCATGGGACCCATCTAGGGCAATGGAGCAGTTTCTGCTTCCAGATTTTCTAGCTGAAAGAAGAGAAAGAGCAAAGACAGTGAGAACTGGGGACTGGTCAGTGAACAAATTTATGATTATCTTCAGTATATAAGACTGTACCGAACACTGTCATGCATATCTTCAACTGCAACCCGTTTTTGTGAAGTGCTCAGGCATTAATATTTTAGTTATTATAAATGTCTCTTAGGTCATTATAAATATGCTTTTATGTACACTACTTTTTATAAAGCTGTAACTGATGGTTTTCCTGAAAATTTTTATTTATGTTTTTTAGCTAGAATTTTATTCAGTAACCCAGTTTAACCTGAGCTTAAATTTGAGATCCTCCTGCCTCAGCTTCTTGAGTGCTAGGATTGCGGAAATGTGCCATTATGGTAGGCCTTAGAAAATAAATTTTAAATAAAATTCTTTCTCTTGCTCTATTTACTTTTTCCTTTCCTGTTACATCATTAGTGACTGGACCAAAATCTCAAAAAGAAATTGAGTAACTTTTTTACAATTTATTTCTAGATGGAAATATTTTTTTTTAAATTTTTCACCCAATTATTACAATTTCTTTCTTTTTTCTGTCTGGAGTGTTGGGTGTAGAGTACATTGGCATTCAGCTCCCACTGTGAAGCATGTCCATTGAGCAGTAACATGAATTCTGCCCGGGTATGTGAGAATGTCATGTGGCCTTATCCAATAAGCTAAGAGGATTATGAGAATGGAATGTCTTGCAATGAAGCAAGTTATTGTTTTTCCTGCTGTTGTAACTGGTGAGGTATGAAGGTGTTTGCATGGTAAGTTTAAAGGGTTGCAAGGGTTTTTACAAAAATTAATGTGTTTGATTAAGTTTCAAACTTCAGGAAAGGCGCAAGAGTTGAATGGCACAAAAGATGTTTGTTCACTGGTTACACAGATTCATCTGTTAACGGTCATCCCACAGGCTTTCTCTCCTTTTGTCTCTTCTCATCCATATGCATGTTTTTGTGTACACACACATTCACACACACTATATTTTTAACCCATTTAATGTCATGCCAGTATGTATTTCTTAAGAACAAAGACCAGATCAGATTGATGTCATCATCAGGTGTGGCAGCCCATCATGGACCACAAGTCACTGAACACTGCTGATGCTTGTACCAAAATACAGCTTTCCCTGAGCTGACCTTTTTCTATGACTTGTCACACAGGCCGCTGAGATGGCACAGGAAAATACAGCCCTGACCACTGTGTTGGTGCTTGATCTTGAGCAGGCTTGGATTGCTCCCTCAAGTGCTGAGACTTCAGCTTTGGGTCTGCCAACTGTGACAGAACCCACTGTGTGTGTAGCTGCCATCTGGGCTCTTTGCATTACCCTGTGGGATTTATGGATAGAAGCAGTGGCACTAACACGCTCACGCTCTGTTGTTTGCTGTACTGGGATAGCTGAGTCTTATTATCTTCTTGCTCCAATCTGTAGAGTGACTGCGGTGAGGCCACCTTCTCGCCAAGTCATCTCCTTTGGAGTCTTGTTCTTTTTTGACATCTTTGAAGAAGTTGGGATTCAGCGTCAAAGTGGTACAAAAATTCAGGATGTCAAGGTAGGTGAAGAATTTTTAAAATAGAGGAAAGGCAAAGATTCATGGTCTGTGTTCAGGCACATTTTGAAAATTTCTGTGGCTGGTAGAAATGTGGTGTAGGAGAAGGCAATGGATGATCCACCTCTGTTCTACCTCTAGATAAAAATGAGTTGGGATAATGCATGGAGGCTGACGAGAGAAGGGTAAAATTTAACAAATGTTTGTATTTGTCACCTGGGGGGATGTACTATGAATCTTATCAGGGAAACCTAGACCTAAGTTGCAAGTAGAAACATCTGAAGGGCAGAGTGTTCCCAGAGAGAGTGTCACGGTGAAAGCCAGTATTGATAGAGAAAGGAAGAGAGAATAGGAATGCTTTAATAAGATAGGCACTGTGGGCTGTTGGCATTCCATCGTTGTGAAGATGGTTGGGCAAAGGTTACACTTTTACATGGCCACCAGAAACACACAGTCTATCTCATCCAAGACCCTATGTTTAAGGAGAATGACTATTATCATCAGGACAGATTCACTTCTCACAATGAAGATGACTGTTGATGACTATTTTGAATTTCTGTTTTAGTCACTACCTATGATCAACATGAGAAGACTTCTCTGTATGATTCCATGAAGAAACTATTCAAAATTTGGAGACTGGTAATTCTTTCAACTCACTCTGTGCTGAATGGAAAGACCTTCCCTCCCTAGGAGTATAACTATGAGTTTATAAAATTGCCCTTCTGTCTGAAAAGTCAAATTCTTCACAAAACCATTCTTGCCAGGAGAGCTTACACAGACAATGTGCTTACTTAGGGCCATAAGCTGTCTAGGAGAAGAGGCACTACTCTCTAAGCCATGAGACACCCCTGAAATTCCAAAACAGAGCCAGAATGGGAAAAACCAACCTATTATAAAAACATCCAAGGCAAGATGGATATGCCCATGAAGACTAGGATACCCAAAGAAGAGTCAATTTGGACAATCACCAGAGAAGTTTGGTCCAAACATCAAGCCATGACACCTGTTCTCTGAAAAAAGGAAGATGGTTGTCACAGGTTAAAATCTTGCTTCTACAGGACACAGTTCTCTTGTGGAGATTACCAGAAGAGCTAGGAGAGCATTAGTGACTGTCTTAGAGCAATTGCTTCTTTATGGCCTTTCTTGCCTGATCTTGGGAGACCAGAGGACTCATCCCATGAAATGTACAATGGATATAGGCAAGAGGGGTTAGGGTGAATATGAACTCTATCTCTTTTTGAAATATACCTGGTCACTAAGCACTGGGTTGTCTTGTATGGCTAGGGTCATGCACTTAATCAGACAGACTTTAAATCATTTGATAGGACATGGAGTCATTGTGAACATGAGTGAGGATGATTGGACCTTTGGCTAGGCACCACTGTCTCTTTTTCTACTGATAATTGACATGCTTGTCTTGTGAATGCTTGTGATGTTCAAGCAGGAAGATTTTCCTCTTCTGTAAGAACCATTTGTAGAGAGATGGCTGTGGGAGATATGCAAGGAGATCATAGCTCATCTTTCAGTTCCCTTCTATGTTTCAAAGGGAAACAATTTAGAATTCTAGGAAGAGAATAGGAAACCACAGCCTTGATGAAAGGATGCTAACCCAACAAGACTAATGAAAAATGCAACATCTCGAAATAATCATGCTGTGTGGTCAGTGACAAAAGCTAATGGGATCTGGAGGCTTACAGTGGACGGTCGCCAACTGAATTCAGTTAACGTGGTAGCACTGGCTGCTCCAGTCTATAGCCTGCGGTCCTGGGCTCTGTAATTGGAAATGAATCAACTGACTGTGACAGCACATGCTATGCCATGTTGGACTTTGGTCTTAGTTACTATTTTTCTGTTGCCATGAAGAGACCACAGCAACTTATAAAAGAAATCATTTATTGGGGGTTTGGTTATAGTTTAGAGGGTGAGTCCATGACCACCATGACAGGAAGCATGGCAACAGGCAGGCAGGCATGGCACTGGAACAGTAGCTGAGAGCTTACATCAGATATCTATAAGCAGGAGGGATAGAGAGAGAGACAGAGAGACAGAAAGACAGACACAGGCACAGGCACCGATAGACAGAGAGACAGAGACAGTGAGACAGAGACAGACAGATAGATAGACAGACAGACAGACAGACAGATGGATAGATAAATAGCCACTAGGCTTTTGAAATCTTGTAATCTGAAAGCCCATGCCAGGGAGACACGTCCTCCAAGTAACATACCTCATAATCCTTCCCCCAAGAATCCAAATTATGTTGTTGTACAGCAAAGCACTGGAGTTACAGATACTTGTGAGTCACTCCATGTGTGTGCTAGGAACTGACTTAGATGGCTTCTCGGCCTTTTGGCTAAGATCAAGTGTAGGAACTGACTTAGGCCCTCTGCAAGAGCAGTAAGTACATGACCTTAGCCATTCAACCATCTCTCCCCAGCCCCTGAAGGACTGTTTGAATTCTCCTGCTATTTGCCACCATATGGGAGAACCAAAACACAAGTCACCATTACATTGATGATTTTGTGTTCATAGGCCCCCAATAAATGGTCTTGGGAAGCTCATGAACTCTGATAAGGCACAGAGATCAAACATTTATGTTGAAGACCTTAGGAAAAAATATGGTCCAATCCTAGAGACTTTGGCTTGCCCCTATCAGAAAGGAAGCCTGGCATTAAGAGGGACTGTTTCAGGTGTCATCCGTGCATCCATTCTGTTGGATTAAATGAGAATTTCATCAAATTTGGCTGGAAACTTAAGCAGCAGGTGGCATTGGAAGCTATCCCAATCGATTAGCCAGAAGCCCCTTTTGAATTGCGGGTCTCTGGGAATGGAGTCAGCCCCTAACCAGCAATACCCTTTGGGTTGTAAACTCATATACCCTGACCCCTGACACTAACCACTTCATTGGTGGAAGGAACACCTTAGACCTTGGAGGTCGAGGGAGGACATAATAACATCCCTGCTATCTCACAGCCTCAGTCTGGCCAAACAAATTCATGTCTCGCCAGAAATAAGCAGTGACCTGCCAACTGTGCTATTGCAGCACTTACCACCTCTGTCCACCTGCTGTGGGAGCAGGAGAACTGCTGTTGGCGAGCTTGGCCCTAAATTATCCTGCTGTGCCTGGTGTTATTAGAGGCAGCTCTACACAGTGAATCCCTCTTCTACGTGAACTCACTGAGAGTTACGTTAGTTATGCCCATGGCCATGCGTATGCTTCTCTTGACATCTAAGTGCCCCGGGGTTATGCAATGTATAGTGCCTGGACTACAGCCTGGTGACTGTGGCCATCTGGCTTAATGCAATGATGGTCCTAATCAAGTTTATCAGTGACATGGGTAACCCACCCCATTCTGTTGTACGTTTATGTGAAAGGCAGAGAAGACCATATGGTTTCTTTCCAAGGGTAAGATTGTTCTTGGGCTCATCAATTTGTGTATGTATGTCCATGGATGTAGAAGGCAGATCAACACGTGTCGACTGCCTCTATTGTTCTCTACCTCATTTAGGAGACATGGTCTCTCATTGATCTGATTAAGCTGGCTGGCTGTGAACTCAAGAGATTTCCCTGAGTCTGTTTCTCAAAGCCAGTGCTAGGATTGCAGATGTTCTTGCTGGGTCTAACTTTTGTACAGGTACTGGGATCCAAACTAATGTTCTTGTGTTTGTGTAGCAAACATTTTATGCATTGAACTATCTCTCCAGACTCAAGCTCATTTTAAGGACCCACCATTGCTGGTAATTGTCCACTCTGTGAATATTTTCTTTATTGAGACCCCAGGTAGAGGATATTTATCAGGGAATATACGGTTTCCTTCTTCCATACAGCATTGTGAGAACTGTCTCTGGTATCAGAGTTCAGATCCTAGAGGCAGATCAGGAATCTATCTTTCACTCTACAGACTATAGCCGGAGAGCTGGGAAGGACCACCAAAAATGAGCAGTTGCATCACAGTCAACATTCTCTGATGGTAGATGGGTCTCTGATTGACCTAACCCATAGTCTGGCTGAACAGAGTGGAGGGTTGATGTGGATTCCATATCATATGGATCAATGGATATGCTTTTGTTGTTTTTGGATTAGTACCCATATCATGCTGGCACAATGTATGCAAACTGTGAGTAAGAAAGCTAAGTGACTATCTGAAATTAGACTTTTTGGTCTTCTCTGGGACATAGTTGAATCTGCCTGGTGGCTTGGTGTAGTGTAGTACATGCTTAATCTCAATACTGCACATCAACGTCATCCTGCTGAGGGCATTCTGTTGACAGTAATTCTAATCAAGTGTTGATTGAAATAAATGAGGACAGATCTGGTTTGAGCATTTGCAAATATCCAATCTCAATTATTGATGGGATGACATGCCCTTGTGGACATGTCAGGCTAAGAAGATGGTAGATTGACAGCTGAATTTGGGAGAGATGAGGTGCCCTGAGCATCTCTGCCTATCTTTGCTTACTAAGTGAGGCTGTAAATCCTAGTGAACCTGAGTAGTGACAGCTAGTCACATAGTTTAGAACCATCACTGTCCAACAACATGAAGATTACAACAGGACAGGGTTGCTTTGTGATGCTTGTTCTTGGGGAGGGAAGATCAGATTATTTTAAATTTCTACAAAATACATGGAGCCCTTCACTCTGGGCTCCCAAGTTGTGCTGCCACTCACCATGGGTGCCAGTGTTCTGGTCTCATTGTGTTGTATGGCGAGGCACAGGGCAAGGGAACTGCACTACCATGCTGCTGGTTCTGCTGTCTTCTTGGCTCCCCAGTGTCCATTCTTGCCATCCTTGGATCTGCGGTAGGTTCTTGCTGAGACATAACTGTCAGAACTCTATAGCCGAGCTCCTTTCTGACAAGAAGGACATTGCAGTCACATATGTCCATGGAGTTGGCAGTTGACGTTAGATAGTCTTCTTAGATCCACACATTAGATGCATAGATATAATCCTGTTAATTTTTCCTTTCATATCAACAGTCTTTTAAATTGTAACTTTTCCGGGAAGTCAACTAGAAAAATCCCCTTAAGCTCTATTTTACTTCATTTAAAAAAAAAAATGTTTGAAAAGCTTTTAGGCTTCAAGGTGAAGCTTGTTTAAGGAATTTTAGTTCCTCTCAATCTAAAGATTGAAGTATTTCCTGTAGTTTTAGGGCTGGAGAAAATTTAAGAGAGTATGGTTTTCAACTTTGTCAATCTGCACAAGGAAATACACCCTTGAGAAGTAGAGGGATGTGCCCACGTGCACTGGATGAAAACGTTGATTTAATATTTTACTTTGCAACCCTTTCCTGCCCTTCCACTTTCTCTTCCCTATTTGCAAAGCCATCTGAATTTGCAACTGAAGCCAGTAACTGAATCAATTACTTTGGAAGCCTATCAGTGTTTGCCCGTAATAGACTTCAAAAACCCCATTCATTAGAGAAATCATCAAAAGCGAGTCACACAAAAACCATTTGGAGCCGATGACTCATATGCAAAGATCTCAGTGTTCCTAAGTAACAAGAGCTCATCCTTTCTTCAAGGCTTATTGCCCGAGTCAGGCATAGTGGGACTGCAGCGTATTCCTGATTATACAGTATAGGCCTGTATCTGATATGGGGACAAGAGCTTCCCATAGTATTTCTACAGCACACTGATGCAAACGGGTTATGTGCAGACAGACATCCTCTTCCAGGAAAGAAGTTTATGCACGATGCATCTTTCCTCTCCGGTCACTAGATTCATTTCCTCGACCTCTCATTCTCCACTGGGTCTAATGTTGCATGGGGCAAGAAAATTGTTGAAGCACCTTTGTCTGTCTGTGTGCTTGTCTGTTGCCCCCGCTGATTCTCTCTCTCTCTCTCTCTCTCTCTCTCTCTCTCTCTCTCTCTCTCTCTCTCTCTCTCTCTCTCTGTGTGTGTGTAAGAACATGTGCACATACCCGTGGAGCTCAGAGGACAGCTTTGGGTGTCATTCCTCAGGTGCTGTCCACTGTTCTTTGAGGCAGAGTCTCTCAGTGAACCTCAAGTCAACCTATTAGGTCAGAATGGATGGCGAGAAATCCACAGGGACCCATCTGTCCCCCTCTCCAGAATGCACAGCATCATGTCTAGCCTTTTTGCATGGGTTCTGGGGTCTGAACTCAGGTCTTCATGCTAGCAAGGTAAGCACATGACCAAACTAAGTAGTTTCCCCAGCCCTTGTTATAAAATTTTTAACAGTCAGTGATGCAGATGGGTAAAAATGCAGCAGCATTTTTACCAAATGTGATAAAGGAGTAGTTCAAAGAATCTACACATGATATTCTGTATGCTTCCTACTGCTTTTAATGTGGAACAAATTTTTTCTTTGTACACTAGACCCTTTTTTACAGTGGAAGAAAGCTTAGGTGACTATTTTTTTTTCCCTCAGTGAAAGAAGCTGGCCCCAGACTCTGA